AAAGCAACTTGTTCCTCACCAGGTTTTGCTCCAGTCTCAGTTCCTGTGGTTTTGCTACATTCTCAGATCTTGCCCCAAACAAATGTGGTCTATTTTGTGTATGGAAAATATGCTAGAGTCAGATTTAGTCGGGGGAAAAGCCCACAGGAGCAGTCAACATGTCTTCTTCGATCAAAGTGCTCAGTGTGTGTGTTTTAAATGAAAGCATCAGCTTTAACTTTGCTGTTATTGTTGTTGTTTTTCTGCTCACAGCTTTTTTCCATTAAAGTTTGGTCCTTCGTTCTGTATTTGCGTTCTCTGCCTTCAGGCTGAGCCGCAGAGCCAACATTTGCCTTCGCTGTCACTAGGTTGGAAGTGGGCAAAACGTGGGAAATTACTTTGCGGGGATGTGCCAGTATGTGCGATCACATGTGCGCGAGCCCCCCTCCCCTTTTCTTTTTGTATACGTGCGTGGTTGCGTGTTAAAGTAAGGGAAGTAAGTGAAGCGTGTATGAGGACCCATCCCATGAACACTCCTTTACCAGCCGAGGGAACCAGCGCATTCCAGATGTGCCTCTTTCTCTGTTCACACCCAGAGCAGCCTTATTGTTAGATACAGCCAAACATAGTTCTTGTATACATTAGATTAACAAATTCTAAACTAACTGATATCTCATGGGCGGGGCCATCTTTTTTGACTAATCAGTCATTAGGAACAGTTTTTAAAGCTAGGCTTAAGTTTCTTTTGTAAGTCGGGAGATAGCAAGCAGTCCAATTCAGACTAAGGGGATCAGGTGTGGAGCATCAAGGTGCAGAGAACAGAGTGTAGTCTCTACGGTTATTTTAGGGAGTGGCAGGTTCCTCCACTGTAATCACCATGCCCCGAGACAAGCCCAAACTCATCTGCCTGTCATGAACTTTCCCCCACAGTTGTCTCTATACCAGAGGTATCTGCTTTCCCAGGAATACGCTGATTTAGTTTGAAACACAATTGCCCATCAGCGCCTCTGATTCTTTTCCTGGGAGCCGTAAACCAGGGTAATTAGACGTTAAGAAGCCACGCCCTGAGCGGGTGCCAGGTTTGGGCCTAGCTTTGGTGCACTGAATGCGTGCGTTCATGAGGATGTGTGCGCGCGCACACACTTGGGACTCGCACGAAAGGCTTCCTTTACTAAAGAAAAACCAAACAACACAATGAGTTAGCTGTAGGCCGCGCTTGACTGTTCCCTCCTAGTCTGCTTGGTTTTTTTTACTCGCCCTGTTACATGTTAAAGTTGTAAAGTTGTGCCTTCCTCTCTGCAGCACAGTCATCATGCTGATTCTCCTCGCCGCCATCTTTGTTCTCCACATCGCCTGCATCATCATCCTCCTGACGGCCACTATTGACAATGTAAGTGCAATTCTTGTTATCTGTGTATAGACTTCTTCCATGCTTCAGGCATAATTGCCCCAGCATTGCTGCTAGCCTCCTCCCTTAGCTTCAGGCCTTGTGCATCTCTGACATGATGGATGGGCAAAGAGTTGAGACTGATTCATCTGTTGAGGAATTCATTCCTTCTCGGTGTGCGGGCCAGCTGTTCTTCTGGATAGCCACATGTTTGACATTTCTGTGCGATACATGGTGACGAGCTCTGTGTCATCGAGTCTCAACTGCGTTGCAGCCACTGTTGCATACCTGAGTGAGATTTGTCTCAGTTACAGGAACATGTGAATTCCTTCTTCATATTGTCATAATTTCCCCCTGCAAATGCACACCATAACTGCTGCTGCAGTATCTACCTGTTTAAATTCCACTCATACTGATTCACCGCTTTTACTTTAGCACACAAGAATTCTGTTAATATTTTTGCAAATATTGTCTTTGTCTTCCCCGTCAGGCCTGGTGGGTCATCACAGCCGGAAACGCGCCCACTGATATATGGGCCCGCTGGATTTTCGTGAATAACTCATGGCATTCTGTCGATCTTCCATCACAATACCCAGAGAGTAAGAGAACATGTTTCCATGCTTGCACCTCTCAGTATTATGTTTTCATATGTGTAGAATCAAAGTAAGAGATTAGTAATAGTTTGATGCTATGACATGTAGCTGGTCAGTCGAGTTAAGCAGAGCTGCACAGGCGCAGTTAGATGCACAAACACACTGTGACTGCATTGTGATTTTAAACAGTGATGCTCCATTTATAAGGGAAGATAACTAAGATTTAAATATATATACAGTGCTCTTAAGAGTACTATCTGATTCAATACTTTAGGACCTGGAGCTCACATATTAAATATAACACCTATTTTAAGCATTGAGAGTTGAATCCAGGAACATGCTTTTTATCTGCATCATTTGGTGGGACACACAATGAGTTTACAGTCACCCAAATTCTGTATTATTTGCATTGCAAATGGAGACTGTTTCCTAATCCTTTGGTATGCAGTTATTGCCTTGAGTCAAACATAACAAGACTGTTTTAGCTGTTTGTGATCAGCGTCTTTTTACCATAAAGCATTTGGCGTGTTTGAACGTAATGTTCCTGCCTGTCAGCATTGCAACTGTGTCTGAGATTTTCAAAGGTTCAATGTGACTGCAGTGCTGCCGTTTCCAGGGAGTGTCCTTAAGCTATTACACCCCCCACACCCTTTCACACACTCTGTATCTTCATTGCGTTTGCTCTCTCTGGCTCCCCCTGCAGGTTACCTCCAAGCAGTGCAGGCCAGCTCGGTGCTAGCTTGTATATTCTCCATCATTGGAATCTTCGTGTTTGTGGCTCAGCTCTTCACCCTCCCCAAAGGACAGAGGTTCCTGGTCTCTGGTGTCTTTCAGTTCCTTGCCTGTGAGTATTTCTTTTTTCTCTTATATTTTATTCCTTTCACTGAGGGCGTTTCTCTCTCTGTATGACGTCCGCTGATGTGTATCTTCACTCGTCTCCATGTTTCCTTCACTTCAGGCCTGTGCATCATGATCGCAGCCTCCATCTACACAGACCGCTTCCATACTGATGAACAAAATCTGGGTAGTTACGGCCATTGCTTCATATTGGCGTGGATCGCCTTCGCTCTCACGTTCATCTCCTCCATCATTTACTTCGTGCTACGCAAGAAGACTGCGGAGTAGCTCCAGAATTCAAACCTGGAACCCTGAACTGAATCTGCTCTTCCAGCTAAAATCTGGTTTTAATTACAGTGTGTGGTCTGTGTTTACATGTATCTGTTTTGGACATCAGATTTGAGCTGCTAGTGTATATTCAGCGATAGATATAGTAGATCTGCTGATCCTCCTCAAATACATGCTGGTGTTTAACTGAGCCTGCTTTCAGATAATCAGAGTATTTCTGCAGGCTCAGTCGATCACAGCTGTATTTGAGTGTATTTCCAGCCCAGAGTGGGGCTGGATTTATTGAGGGCATCTAATGATAAACAATCTTTTATTTTTTTTAATTACATAAAAAAAGCCTTAATGTTTATAAGATGCTATCATAGGCTAAGACCTATTAATATCCCTCTATTATTAAAAAAAGCAGTTTGTAATGTACATTTATAATATGGAAATGGGTGAATTTTATTGTTTAGAATTTTTTTTGTTAGTAGTTTATTGATTTTTAATTTTTAATTTGCCCTTGAATTACTTCATACAGTGTGCCACTGAATAAACAGAGTGAAAACATAATGCAATCAACCCGTAGCTAATCTGTTTGAAGTCTTACATAATATATAAAAATATAATAAGACTATACAAAGATATACGGTGGAAAGCCGATATTATGATGCTGCTGAGGTTGTGCTGTAATTGTTTGTAATTGGGAAGACACCAAATCAAGCGAAACCCTGGAGATACAGTTTAATACTAAATGTAAAGGCAAAAGAAATTTACTTTGTTTCAGCGTGAATGCAGAAAACACATAAAAGCCTTTTGGTTACGTTCTCATGGAGTGTTTGAAAGTTGCCATTTTACATAACTCAAAGACTCAGCTGTCTTTTCTGGTTGTAAATGTAATCATATTAGTTTCTAAAAGCATAAATTCGATCATCCAGATTAAACCTGCTTCCACACTGAAAGGCAACTAGCTTTACTCTTGGTGTATGAGATGTAGTGTGTAAATATAATTTGTTTCCCATGACGCTCTGTATGCTCTTGTTTATTTTTGCTACCTTTGTACGTCACGATGAATGACACTGACAGTGATTTTTACTATATTAAAACGTGATTTTCAATCAGTTATTGGAGGTGTTTTTTCTTTCTTCTCCAGTTGTCATGACATGGATTTCTTAATTAACTACACTGGCTCACAAAGTGAAGGTTGATATACATTGTATACATAATGAGGAGTTTCTGTATTATGCTCAGTCCTTATCCACGTGTTCTTCATTTAAATAACAGACATTGCAGATTGTAAATAACAAATGAATACTCTGGTTTATGAATCACTAAAATGTTATTTTCTAACAAAAGCAGTCCAAAGGAAACACATCAAATGTTAAAATTTTATTATTTTCTAAAAAAAAAATGTTTATTTTTTTTACAAATATTCAAATATTCTGAATAAATAAATTAATAAATACAAAAAAGTTGTGTAATCTTATAATAATAATAATGGATTGCATTTATATAGCGCTTTTCTAGGCACCCAAAGCGCTTTAAAATTCCACTATTCATTCACTCTCACATTCACACACTTATGAAGAAACACAGCAACATCTCACAACAGATGACGTCCATTAGTAACATGAATGGGTTTAGAAGGAAGTAAAGAGAGAGGAAAAACTAAGTATATCTTTAACTGCCTCTGTGTATTAACACAAAATTATCCCCATGTGCTCACAGACGTTATAAAGAAGTGGGCCAAAATTCCTCCACAACAAACAGGAGAATGCAAAACTGTGTTTGCATTTATTTACAACAAGCAGAAAAAGTTATTACATTTTAAGTACAGAACTTGTGTTTTCTAACATTGTGTACATGTGATTATTACCTACCTATGGGTGCAGGACCTCAAACTGATAAATGGAGGGAATTTGGGACCATGTTCTATAAAGTTTAATATTCCCAGCACACAGCATTTCTAAGAGTCCTCAGAGAGGGCTGTAGTCCTCTTCTGGCTCGTAATGATTCTCCTGGTGTCTTGGGAGGGTCGTGTGGTAAGAGACGAGTGGTGTAGGTGAGGGAGATGGTGAGGGCAGGGACAGACGGTGAAAAGGTGACCCGGGTGCAGGGTGAGAGGGGGGAGGAGGGAAGGATTTAGAAATTGAGATAGGAAGTGAATGGGAGTGCGTGAGCCTTGGAGTGGGGGCGGAGGGCGGCGATGTTTCCGAAGGGGGGGCATAGTAGGGAGACAAGTGGGAGATCCGAGGAGGAGACAGGGGACAGGTGAGGTTGGAGGCAGGATTTGGTGGTGTGTAGTAAGGTGGCAGGAGTCCCATAAAGTTAAAGCTGCAGGGGTTGAGGTCGGAGACACGCCTGGGACCCACCATCAGGACCTTTTTGGTATAGTTGTTCAGGGTGGAGACACCTGCAGCCATGCAGATGGTGAAGCCAAGCCAGGCCACACTGTTGGAGACAGAGGAGGAGAAACAGAAACGGCATCACAAACGTTTCACAACGTTTTGTTTTTCCACAAGTAGAAATATGACAACTAAATATAAACCAAATATTATTCCGAGTAGCTTTTTGGTGCCCTACTACCATCTTGGATTGTTAACTTCAACTTGGAAGTTGGACTTAAAGGGAAAACTCAGAAACTCTGACTTTTATACTATTTATACTGGACAAGTGGAAAAGAAGAATTGGCAGGCCTAAAGCAGATAAACAGTATCTGAAAGTCATGTCCTTAAAAAATGACACAGGACTGTTATATTGTATTTCTACATAGAATATACACATATTGTATCCTATGTATGTTGGAACGTGTTGCAATAAATTGATGCACCTATTTCCTAAAAAAATATATAAAGAAATGAGGGATGACTCAAGACTTTTGCACAGTACTGTGTCTCTAAAACGCATCAAGCAACTGTGTGTTTGCAGAAGAACTTATTTCCAGAAGCTGAGAGTTGTAAAACTGTCATTTTAAGTGGACTAATGATTTGAGGGCACTTCAGTAGCGTGACAAGCTGGAGGGACTTGATCCCCAGCTGATTGAGAGGTCCCACAAAGAATCCCACACAAACAGCTCAAGGAATTTGGTGTGGAAAAAATTGGTCTGATTCACATAAGAGCCAGGAAAAGAATGTTTATTCTCCTGTTTTCATCTCCAAAACAAGAATTTTAGTCAGTCAGACAAGCACTTAGCAATAGACATGAGGAATAGATTATCATCATACCAGTATGGTCTGAGTCAGAGAGGGAACAACTAATTGGGCTGAACCATTGTGATCTTCTACATTTCATACGTAATATAAATGGTTAGAACTCACTAGAACGCCCAGGAGTACCCGTAACTATGTGGCTTGAAGTCTTCTGGTCCCATCGAGGCAGTGGTCTGAAACACCTGCATGAACATCATGTGACCGACCATCCCGAGCAGACCTGAGAGGACAAAACGGGGGAATGTGCCAACCTGGTCACTCTGTCGGCGTTTCTACGGTGTTAACAGAAGTCACTCTGATTTGCGTATACATCTAAATATTGTACCTCCCAGGACTGTGAAGACAGCTGCAAAAGCATTGAGCAGCTGGCCCCAGTGCTTCGTAGAGGGACACCAGGCCCTGATACACAGCTGCACGGACAGCAGTATGCAGCTGATTAACAGCAGACCGATATTCACGAGCTCCATTGACAGCGACAGCCAAAGCATTGCTGTAGAAGGAGGAGGAGAAGGAGGAGGAGAGGCTGAGAGAGCAGAGACAGATGAGGGAATGGATTTCAAACGACACTGCGGGAGAAACCGCAAAACGTTACCTTTTTCAGATCCTGGGGGGAGTGTGTAAAAGCCTCGACACTTTTCCTCTAGAAATCAGAAGAAAACATGAGAAGAGTTTACTCTGGAAATGTTTTATGTAAGACCCATTGCAGCATTGTCTCCCCCCAAAATCCGCCAGCCCCAGCGTAATTACTCTCAGTGTAAATAACCACTGCAATCGAATTACTGTGTGAGAAACCAGATTTGAGACGACCAATTGCATGAGTGCTGTAATGGCCTGAGTTAACCTGGTGATAGGAGATTAAAAGATTAGCTCAGATCTCGAAAGATTGTGGCTACAGGGTCACACATTGAGACTGTTGTGTTTTCCATTTTTATAACATTAGGGATTCATTTCAATATTGCCGCATTTTGTTTCCACCAATCAAACGGGCCGTGCGTTAAAAACAGTAGCAACGTGTGCCAGTAGTGGGTTAAGCCTCTTTGCAGCCTGTTTATCTAATTGTTTACATGGCAGCTGAAATAATTAGAGTACCATATGGCTCTACACCGAGGTGGCCCTGAAAGTACAGCATACGGAGACTTAAGAAAAACAGATGCAAATAAAGGGGGAGAAATGAGGAACAGATTTTCACTAACTTGAACACGCATGTGCAACGTGCATTAAAAAAAACACAGTAAGGAACACACACAGCCGCGTGCTCGTGGCCTTCATCACTCTGCGCTCCCCTCTGTGTTGTTATAGGTTTTCTTCATTTGCTTTGTTTGATTTTTATCTTTGGATTGGTGCTCAGAGCCCCAAGGACACCGCGCCGCACTTGCTTTGAATTATTTTTGAATTTCAGTTGTGTAAAAAGGAAAGTCCAAACTCTTTCTATTCTACGGTGTTATGTGTCAGGACATAATTATAAGAAAACAGCATCCTCACATAGAAGGTTGTAAAAAACACGTGACTTATTTCACTGATATTATTTATTAAACCAACACTAAGGCTAAAGCCTTCCTTACTGATTTCATTGGAATTAAGAGAGTAGAGAACGGTAATCAAACGCACTTGATTAACCGATCATCAGTGAGTGTGAGCACCTCCGTAAAAGCAGTTTTGGAGGACTGCTGGTCTGGAGCAGTCAGGTGTGTTAATACAATGATGAGGAGGAAAGACATCAATGATCTTAGAGAAGTTACTGCCCATCAATCTGGGTTATAAGGTCATTTCTAAACAATCTGAAGACAGAAGGGACCCAAGAGTCTATCCCAGCTACCACAGGGTCACAGGGCTAACACAGACAGTAAACCATTCGTCACATTCATTATGAACAATTTAGAACCACCAGTTAACCTAACCCGACTAACTGCATGTCTTTGGTCTGTGGAAGAAGCCAAAGTTCCTGTAGAGAACCCACACAGACACTGGGAGAACAAGCTCCACACAAAAAAGGCCAGGGCGAGATTGTGGATTTGAGCCCTGCTGTGAGGTGACAGCCCTGACTGCAACCCCTTTTTAAACTAAGCGCTCTCTGTCTAATATTCACACACACGTTAATACTAATAGGAGCAACTCAGAGTTCATTATCTTGCCCACACATACTTTGGTATGCAGACTGAACGAGTCAGGAATCGAACCACATATTAGTAGATGACTAATATGAAGGTTGCAGATGATCTGATCTACCTCCTGAGCCACACGCCTCTCCAAGGAGTGGGCTCAGATCATCCAACGCTCAAAGAAATTGAATATTAAAGTTCATGACAGCATGATTAGAAAATAACTGAACAAATACAGTTTGTTTGGATGGGCTGCCAGGAGAAAGCCTTTTCTCTCTCAACACTTGATTTACTCTGTTGCAGACATGGTAACAGATAGCTGGAGACCACGAGATTAGGGTGCATGCACAGCTCGTGTATTGTAATGTGGAGCTTTACTTAATTAACCATATATCTCGGTTGAATTTTTGGAGGGGCTTAACATAAATATTGATAATCATCCTTCAAATCTGCTGCAGATCAGCTGCAAATGAGACGGTGAATACCCGGTCGATGTTTGTGAATCCTATCAATCTCTCTCTCTGGGTTTTAATCCATAATTGAGTCATGCTGTTGAAGTCTAAATCTCGGCTAGCAGAACATAAACACCGATGATAATCCTCTTTGTGCCGAGCGCCCACCCAAATGCAGTCACAATCGCACACGTACAAACACACCTGAGTCCTCACTTCACATTACCACCTTGCATTTCCTCTCTTCCTGTGACCCATTTCGGTGTCTAATGCTGGACTAAGGATTCCTTTCGCGTCCTGTTTCTGGGCAGATGTTTGGCTAACCTTGGGAGTATCCTCTACTCACCACGCAGTTTAATCATCAAGTATGATCAGGGCGTGCTTATAAAAAACCTTCCGGTGATACTGATTGAATGTTACAAGCATCACCAGATAAATTAGAGAGGAGCATCGGTGCTTATTTTTAGCTTCTTTGTCCAAATCCAGGCTCTCTCATCCATTAGTGCCTATTCCTGTTAATCCCCTTCAGGGTCAGCGGTGCCACGTCTGGGCATTTGTAAGAAACTGAGCAACTTTGTCCTTTGACTCTCCATTGTGGTCAGTAAGGACTTCTGTTTGACTTTTTTTTAACTTTACACAACAGAAATCCATCACAATATTCTAGGCTTGTCACATTTCTACCCACTCCCCTCTTTTCTCTCACCCCACTCATCTATGTAGATGTTCTCCTCACAGATGATGAACAGTCCGGTGTGAAAGTTGGGGAAGACAAAGCGGTCGTCGCCGGTCTCCCAGAAGAACTGAATCCTGGAGGAGTTGGAGACGCCGGGAACGGGGATGCATTTGGTCTGCTTGGTGGGCGAACACAGAGGTTTGGGCACCTTCTGCTGACCCACGCACCAGTAGGAGGACATGAGGGCCGTGGTGCTCAGGAGGAGAGACAAAAGTGTCTGGACAAAGGAGAGGCAAGGGGAGCGCATCCGCTGCACGAATGCCATCGTGCGAGGGTTTAAATGAGGGCTTGGGCTGATGGAGGGGAAACAGGGAATGAGACACGATACTGAGACGTGTTTGACTCGATTTAAACAGCAAGTTAAAAAAAAATATCTTGCAATGTAAATGAAATGCTTCATAAGGGAATCTGTTAATTTGCTTGACAAACTCCTGTATGCCACTAAAAATACCAGCAGCCTGTTATTAGTTTCCAAGGAGAAGCAGCTCTACCCAACTGCCTCAGATTAGTGAGGCATTTAAAAGAGAGAGTGAAGGGGGCCTGATTGGTTTTACATTACTAATCACATTTAAAGAATAAAAAGACTGTGACAGAAAATCACACACTACTGGTAATTGGTGGGAAGACAGACAGCCAAATCAGAGGAGGAAAACGGGTGAAAATAGCTGTCGCTATGGAAGGTCTCCGGGAGACAGATGCTCAAACTAATACGTCTGAGCACTTTGTGTCAAGCGGTGAATTAAAGCGCACTCACCTGCTTCAGCCTCCCTCACTTTATCCTCAGTCGCATCATCGAGTGAGTGCGGGAGGTGAAAGAGAAACCTGGCTCCCCTCGCAGCTCTGCTCTCCCTCTCACTCCTCATGAGATACTGAGAGTGATGGAGGATTTTGGCCGTCACACTGACCTCTGCGAGCAGTGTGTCTGTCAGTCTTTATGATCCGACCCCGGCAGTCAGACACAACTGTGAGCATCACACACACAAGCACACACTCCTCCTCTTTAATCCATCCTTATAAATCCAAAACAGACAACTCTGTTCCATCTGTTTTTATTTTGGTTCCTGGACTCATTTTGATCTATTTCATTCATCTCTCATGACTCTCATATCCACCCTCCTTCAACACTTTCCAGCCTGTAAGTGCAAGCAGCGCTCTGTTCATGTAGAAATCAAAAATGACCTTGAAAACAGTGGAGAAAAATTGACAGGGGCTATAGTACTACCCAGTACTATATGTGTGCACCATAACTCTCTGATTGTAAAACGTGGCTACTCCACTGTGATTGGCTATAGTGGGTCCACTACACCCCTGAAGGTGTACAAAGGTTTAATAGCAGAACACTGCTCAAAACATCACACTGCCTCTTCAGGCTTGAATTCTTCCCATATTGCATCCTGGTGCCAGGTTGCAATATGGGAGGAAACACTCACGTGCCCAGACATCCACATGATGGAAAAGAAAAACACATTTTACAGCTGTAACGCTAGCGAAGCCATTACAAATATCATCACTGACACTGACTTCTAGATTAATAACACCACAGTATCCTCTTAAATCTTTTATTTATTCCTCATACAGAAAACTAAACAGCAGAGGAAACTAAAATATACTAAATTGATTTATTCAGAACCCAGAACGGCCTGAGGGACATGGAGGTCAAGGCCCAGCACTTGGCAGGAAGCAGCTCCTGGACATGTGAATGAGAAAAGCCTTTTTTATTTTTTTTAATATAGGTCTGGTGTACATTCACATGAACTACTCTATTATGTGTGTGTGGCTACCTCAGCTGGTTTAGAGCGCTCAGCAGAGTCAAACAAGATATGCAGGAGAATCAATAGGTTGGAGACCGAAAGGATTTATGAGCTTTGCCATACGATCATTTTGCAATCATCGTGCTGCTGAAGTCAGTGGATGTAAATTAGAAGAATTGTCACCTCATGTTTGTTACATCAGACTAAGACAGAGGATTGGTGAGCAGATCCAGGAGCAGCTGGGGGAGAAGCTGTTGCAGGATGAGGTGAAAGATCGAGATAAACTACAGATAAGAGAGATGCATGAAGTGCAGACACAAGAGGGAGGTGCAGCCCACCCACAGACACCCACCTTTATTGCATGCTCAGACATGCAGCATGTGCAGTACACGTATATGGGATGAGAGTCAGTTTGTTTCTCTGACCGTCTCCTTCCAGGCCAAGGAGGAGGAGGGGGAGGGGGGAGGAGAAGTTGGGTGATACTGGCAGCATCATGAATGAGGCCTTACGACAACAGATGAAGGACAAAGAGCGCAAAGATCTGCGAGGAGGCCGACCGGTTGATGAGGAAACTCTCTAGAACATATTTATAAGTAAATAAATAAATAGTTACACATCTAGTTTCCTGCTCTGCTGTTAATGTGGTGTTTTCCCGTCCACGTGCCGAGCAACAGCCATCCCTGAAAAAAACTGCAATGACATGAAAGCTGTCAATTAACACCTCCATAGCGCAAATTACTAATGTCACTCTTTATATTACAGAATGCGACAACAACACTGCCAAAGACGGCTCTTTTGTGCCCTTGCAGCCAGATTGGGAAAACTCTGGCTTCACTTTCTCAGTCGATAACCACGTTCATGTTGAGGTGAGTGAAACCAGATAACAGAAAGATAACCTGGGCTTGATGACAGTACAAGGCACACACTTATCCTCAAGTATCATCATTTTTTAAGCTAACTGCTGCATTTCTTTTAGCCTTTAGTCAGTTAATTCTATTTATTTGCTAAATTGTCACTTTTAGTTTTAAAGCACTTCAGTTATCAATTATTTTTAACGCTTAATATTTCAATTGTTAGCCTTTAGCTAATGTGAGATATCTTACCCATTGTTTTTAGGTAATATTAACTATTTCAGCTATTTTTTTTAACCATTATTTTATACCAAATCTGAACCACTTATCCTTTAGCTATTGTATGCTATTTTATTCATTATGTTGTAATGTATGCTCAACTACTTTGACCATTTATCCTTTAGCTACTGTTAGGTATGTTAGCCATTATTGTTAGATCATGCTATTTCACCATGTTGTACTTGATATAATTTAGCTTATGTAATCATAACTAAAGCATAGCTAAAGCTAGCTAAAGTGTTGCATGGCTGTACTTTTTCAGCTTAATTCAGTATTTGGACTTTGATGTTTTTTGTGTAAAATAACCATTGTTATTATCACCACTTTTAGCAAATGTGTACCATTTATCTAGCAACCCAGTATTACCCACTTCACTCAATATTTCCATCTCATATAAACCATTTTCACCTTCAACCCTTTCCCCAGTGTTAGGTATTTTAACTATTTTAGTCGCATAAGAAAAACCTAAATGACGAATGCATACGATTCAACACAGGTGCACTTCATCATACAAAGCAGGTAACTGACATGCCACGCAGTGTGGCTGGACAGTCAGTTTGCTTAAGAAGGTTCTACATGAGTTGAGTGACCTGCAAGTATCTGTGGCAGCCATAAAACAGCCGGTGGAGTTCTCTACATACTAAGGTAAGGTGCTTTCCTTTAATACCTCCTTTTAACAGAGGATACACTAGACTAACCTTTATGAAAGAAGGAAAATAATACCAGCCAAAAATTCATAGCAATACTTCAATACTCTTGAAAAACATAAAAAAAACACCCTTTGATTAGCATACTTAGAACTGTCCTGAATACTCCACCCCTACACTGAGGGCACTTTGAACATTTCCATCTTGATGGGAGTGGTGTCCCTGAGTGAAAGCGCTCTTATCTACAAGGTATGAGGTGGGGAATAGCTTAATTACTATAAAAAAACATGCATTAGAAGAATGGACTTCCATCCAGAGTTCAGGAGAGTCGTATTAAAGCACACAATGGTTCACATGTTTCCCCCCTTTTTGACCAGTCTCCATGTCCAGCAACTGCTGGTGTTAGAAATTACAGTCCCAAACCATTTGAGACATCTTCTAAAACCTGTCTGATTACATTAGTATGGCACTAAATTTCACAGTCAACCAAAGTCAAGAAGAAACAAGAAAGGAAGTGTGCATGTGTACAGAAATGACTACAACTAATGTGGTTATTTTCCAAGAACTCACTGAGAACATAAAAGAGATAGAACGGCTGATTTGTAATAAAAATTGAGAGAAAAACCGGGCAATAACCATGTTAGACGAACTTGAAACAGGCGGGTTTCCCAGAGGAACAGATGCGAAAACAAATATTTCAGGCATAAGAAGAGGAACATACGTGAAGCATTTTTAAGTGTATTCATAATTCATATACATATTGACAGGTTTCTAATACAGCATGGTTTTGATAGTGTAACTGTCTTTCAGCTTGACCTTTTTTTTTCTTTTTTTTTTTACAAGAATAACAATAAAAAATGATAAAGACAACACCATGTACGACTCACTTTTAAATTTTTATGGCAATGCTTCTTTTGAATGGATTTTGCATCTCCCGATTAGAATGCTGCCGTGTCACAGAAGTTTGAAACCATTCAAAAGTACTTGGTTAGGCTCACCCTCGTTCACATGACACCCTCTCCAAAGTTCGCTTCCAAAAATGTCTGACGTCTGTCAGTCGAACGTAACTTTGCACGAACGTCTTACAAACGCGTGCATCCAGTACGCAGTTCCACACCAATAAAACCTCTTCAGTGTCCGTCCTTCACCTTTTCCCAGCCGGCGTGGTTAAAGATGGCAGACACGCTTTAGTCCATAGTGTTATCTGCTCCTCTTACGAGCGTCTGTCCTTCTCTTTGCACATTATGAACTTTTTGTACTTGAAAAATAAGACTGTGTCCATCGTTTTTCGTGAATACTATCTGTACCATAAAAACCCCGGTGATGAAAAATAAGAACACTTTTCAAAAGGACCAAAAAATGGAATCAAAGACCCAGAAGTCAGCATTTTTTCTTTTTTTCAGTTTTTCCACACGCACTCAATTGCTCACTCATACACGACTTTAGAAAGGCAACAGATGTCCGTTCTCCAAGGCAATAATGTCTTTGTGGCAAACATGACCCTGACATTACAGACAACATCACTCTGGCTCCCCCCTCTCCAGGAATGAGGAAAAAAAATCCAATTAATGCGTAGACTGAATATAAAATGAGATACATCCATTTCATTTCCATGAGTAAATACTGATGAGGTTACAAAATAATGAGGACTAAAATAATAACTGTGATCATCCTAATATCATAAAAGGTAAAATACTAATTGTGAGAGGATACAAAGTTCTCTCCTTTCTTGGGTTT